CGGCGTCGCGTTCTCCCTCATGCTGCGTGGATTTCCCTGTGTCTCTCTCTCCGAGTGTTAGTTTACTTTTCCCAGTTTAGTTTTGTATTTTCCTACGTTCTGCCTCTTCAGCAATAAAGCTGTTTTTTGAGTTCATCCCCTGAGTCTGTGAGTTTTGCGATTGGGTCCTCATTCTGCCTGCCACACAGCGATCATGACAATGTTGATATCCATGGGTTAATGTAAAAATCTTTGTAAAAACCCACTGAGTTAAAGTATGGAGAATCAAGGCTGAAAGCGTGATTGATTGTTTGATTTAAAAGGCACTGTGGTTGTGTGCAGAAACTAAACTACGAAAAATGTTACTCTACAAGTGGTCACTATCATATCATTGTTTTTTTGCCATTTTCTGTTAATAGCATTCTTTGAGCGTCAGCATCTATTGTCAGAGCAAAGACGTAAAAGCAAACGCAAAAATATGTCAGTTAGTGCACTACTGTCACTATAAAAATAGGTTATCGAGATTCAAGATATTCAAGACAAAATATGACTTTGCTTATACTGTGAGGCTGTGATTACAGAGTGTGGATAAAATTACTATTGAAAGACTGTCAAAGGTGCAATTTTAACAGGTCAAATTATCTTGTTTGCACTGTTATAATGAATAATAATGGATTGCATTTATATAGCACTTTTTGAGACCCTCAAAGCACTTTACAATTCCACTATTCATTCACTCTCACATACTGGTGGAGGCAAGCTAGCCACAGCTGCCCTGGGGCAGACTGACAGAAGCAAGGCTGCTATATCACGCCATCGGCCCCTCTGGCCAACACCAGTAGGCGGCAGGTGAAGTGTCTTGCTCAAGGACACAACAACCAAGACAGATAGAGCTGGGGATTGAACCGGCAACTGTCCGGTTACAAGATGAGCTTCCCAACCCCCTGAACCACGGTCGACCGAATGTCAAGGACAGGGCAAAATAATCAACAGAGGGGAAGCTAATGAATGCCTGTCTTTCTGTTTTTCCCCTCTGCTTAAGAACCTTTTATACCTCTATTCATAACAGGTTTTAACTCTCACACAGTATTCTTTGTTTTGTTTTGGGGGAGGGGGGGGGGTCATCTCATGTTGCCTTTAGCAAAAGACTGTTTGGGGGTAAAAATGAGCACATCCCTCAAGTTTATATGACTTGCTGTAAAAGGGATGTGCTCATTTTTACCCCCCAAACAGTCTTTGGGAGTATGAAAGGCTCCTCCAGGAGACATTAACTGAACTTCAGAAACTGCTTCAGCAGAAGAGCAACTCACATTTCTAAAAACTTCTGCAGACCGTTGATCCTCTGGATGACTTGTTCTGTGTTCTTCAGACTGAAGAAAGGGTTCCAGGGTGGCAATTTAGGCAAGTCTCTGGACATGGATATGAATATACATTTGTAACTTGCTGGATTATCAATTTACAACATGGATTAATCACCATCATAACAAGAAAACCTCAACATACATTATGAAAGCGTTCTGTTCCAGGCAGTGACGCAACCAAACAAACTCACTGTAGCGCCGTCTCACAGAGGAGGTCTTTTTTCGAAAACACAAGCTATTAGTCTGCAAGAGACAACAGTTCATTAAACGCTTATTACAAAAACACAACAAAATAAAGCTAACAGAACAGTTTCTTTTTTAATTGGCACATACATGTAAACAAATCTCGTAGTCAACATGTGTGTGCCAGCGGCCATCTTTATGAAGCCTTGGCTCCCGAACGCAAACTCTAATAAACTCCTGCAAAAATCAAGACCAGAGTTCCGTTATTTCAAAATGAAAATGTGAACGTGGGCAAAATGAAAACAGGATTGTCCCACTGTTTGGGTTTATCTATTTGCTATTATAGATAAACAAAACAAGATACAGGAAAAAGAAAAAGTAAAATCAAAGCCACTTACAGTGTTTGAAAAATTATCCAGAATAGTGTCCATTAGTGATACAAAAACCTGGAAGGGAAATAAACACATTAGTACCATCTCTTTTAGCCTATTTGCTTATCAGGTGGTCTGATTTCAGCAAAATTATAGCAGCCTTTATGGGTTCTCAGAATTAAACAGCATGTTTAAAAATCACAGCATTTCTTTTGTCCCAATTCCATTTTATAAAACAAAAGGCTAGCAATTGAGCCTTGAAGGATTTAGGAGTGCAAAGATTTCGAACAGATTTGGGATCAAGTGGGATGAGGGGCAAAGGTGGAGGATTGAGCTTATGTGTGGGAAATCTTGGTTCTGAACACATTAAACATGGGCACATAGCAAAACACACTTGGGACAAAAACAGCCCACTAGAAAGAGAAATACAGTCTAGTGCTTTCAAAGCCAACTCTATAGGGTTAGCTTTACAGTGATATTAGTCATATGCGTTATCCAGTCATCTGTTCATGAACAAACAAACCAAACATGCCATTTGCAGGCCTAAAGTCTAACCAGAGATAATAAGCAAGTTTAAACACGTTTTCAAATAGGGTGATCAGGCCACCTTCAAGAGACTGAACTACACACCTTGCTCTACAGATCACATGAAATCATAAGCCACCACAGACTAATCTATTTGGATAAACTCTGTACTGAGGTGACTGTAGGCTCTTCCTTCAAGACTGTCATTGCTCTTCAACAACAGTCCTGTAGCTGCAATAATTCAGCAGGTCCTACACGTAGACGTGAGGTTAACAGGATGCTGAAGGGAATTGCATAATGGAGTGCACTTTGATCTGAAGTTACACGCACTCAGTGCTCTAAAACACTTAAGAGCATGAAGCATTATAATTTTCTAACCACTATCCAGGACAACACAACAGGGCTTAACCAATTATTTAACGCTCATAATCAGTGCTTATTATACATCTTCTGAATACCCTAAAATCATTTGTAATGTTTAACCTCCTGAGAACAGAGGAAGAAAGACTCTTCCCATTTAACTTTGTGCTTTCCTTCCTCTTTGGGGCTAAAACGGGTAATCGAAACGGAGTTCAATGGAAACCCCAGGATGCCCTCTTTTTATTGCATCGGGACTTAGTAGGGTAGCTACTGAGAGGAAAAGACGAAACGCAAAACAAAACAAACCCACGAACCCACAAATATATTAACAAAAAATAAAAATAAAAATTTAAAAAAAAAAGAGCGAGAAGGACGCCCGATTTTGCATCTACTTTGACCTTACCTCTCCCTTCTTCACCTCGAGTGAAATTATACGATAATGTGAACAACCAGGACCAGCTCACTAACCTGGCTTGAAGCTTAGCCCTTCCTGGACTGAACTAATACCAACCCTGCTGCTACTAATTTCCCACTGCTAAGCACGACCTCCTTTCCCGACTGGATCAGGCCACGTAGTTAGAAAGTATACCATAACAAGCAACATTTAAAAAGTAATCGTAAAATGCATTGTTTTTAAATCATTCGTCTAAATCAGGCGGAAAGAAAATGATCAAGAATCTCAGATGAGAGTAACACGTTAAGCGTCGCTTTTCTGCGCACCTGTTTCTTACTGCTATTATCCGGAATCAGTTTAAATGGTGTCACCTGGTGGGAGGAGGCCAAGCGATGGCAATGCAGCGACAACCCCAAATAAAGTCATAATAACTTTATATAGTTACTGGTCTCTACAGGACCTCAGAAAAAAAAATAGGCTGTGAACAACCCGATTTTCAAACATTCACTTTATTCGTTTATTGATTGATGGATTGTAGGTGCCTAACTAATAAAAAGAAACAGATTCATTGTTAAATTGATCTCTTTCTTCTTGAACCCTTCCATTTATGCTTCTTCTAATGCAAGTGCTTATGGGGATTTACCTTTAGAAACATTCAGACAATTTAAACCACTTCATGGTCTGAGATTTTATGTCTGCTTCTTCTGCTTCTTTTTTGTTCCTACAACCAGCTCTGAACCACAATAACACTGTATGGTGGCTGGGTGGAGAAACTTTAACCAAAACCAGACAAACAAATCAAAATTTAATAACTGTCCATTGTTCTGACTTTAATTGTTAACATAGTTGTCCACGACTGCTTCACTGCAATTCTAGATGAAATTTAGATATGCATGCTAGTTTTGAAAGGTGAAGCTGAGACATAGAGACAGACAGGCAACTGCAGCATGATACGGTACAAAAACAACATCCCAAAACCTTATCTGAGATATCACATCATGGGCTGTGTTATGCTTCGTTTCAACTAATAAATCAAAAGTTTCAAAATTAAATCAAAATCTCAAATCAAGGCATCAGAGGGTCAGAGATGACACTGACACCTAGTCTACGTGAACTCCAGCCCACAGCAAGCATTGTTGTATACAATGACAGTTTTAAAATTGAAGACCAAGAGATCTTACCAAAGCCAGTTGGCGTCTATCCCTCTGACCAGTCCAAGAGTGGATCAAGAAACTAGTGAGACGTCACCTTAGGTTGGATGGTAATTTGCATATAGAGATCTCTTTATCTTGTGTCAACAGAAACGTTCATTTGCTTTTACAGACTGTTACAAAACAGCACCATTTTCTATCAGATTTCTACATTTTATGGCCAATTAAGCAAAATTCAGAGTTGACAAAAGCTGACACCAGAAATATGTGAAATATACAGACCAAGATTTATTTTAAGCATATGTTTTATATTACTTGAAATTGCTGCACTGACATTTACTTTCCATAGCTGTATGTCTATATTGAAATGATTCAAGCACTTAACAGATAAGACATGACTGTGTTGCTGTGATTAGATATTTGACTTAATCAAGATGTCAATTAAAAAAAAAGTTAAACATTTACAAGGAAATGACAATAACAGGCCATTTTCCATCCCTGTATCCTTTCTGCAGGCTACTCACTACTCTTTAGCATTTACAGAACAAACTTTTCAGAGAAATTAGCTGTTTGTTATCAAATTTGTAGGTGAACGTTCATGTAGCAGTTGTTTTTTTCCTGCTAGGACTAAAGGTTGGATATCTATCATGACCTTTTCCAAATCACTCAAATAAGAAACTTGAGTGATTTCCCACAGAAATCAGTAATGCACAAAGGTTCACTGTCTTATCTCCTATGCCATTATGCAGTCTTGCATTTAGAGTGAAACCACAGGAAAACCAAAGCACTGCAGCATGAAGACAAAACTGTAAAAAACTTCACCCAAGAAACATCTATTAGGAACATAAGGAAATCCTAATTGTTAACTTTGTTTCATATGCAACTCGCTCTGAATTACTTCCAGTAAATTCTTACATGTATTTGTAGTTGGAAAAAAAAACTAAAAGACAAAAACAAAAAAAAAAAACAACATCTGGCATAAAACCTTTATTAGAACGACAAACAATATTTAAAGACAGTATACAAAAAGTATTTATGGAACAAAACATCACTACAGTAGAAAACATGAGCAAGAATGTGGCAGAGTGAGAAAAGTGTTTTGGAATTTAAAACATTTAAACAAAGATGAAGGTGGAAGTGGCCCTAATCAGTCCTTTTTCAGCTGTGCACTCGCTTCCATGAATCTGGCTGCATCTGAATGTGTTGACTTCAAGTCTAAATGAGCACCTAAACTAAACCAAGTATTATTAACGACATGCATGCACTGGATTACAACTGTACTTGTATCTTGTGAATCTCTGAGTTGCAAAGCTCACTATTTAATGCCCTAAATTTCAAATCTATGCATCACATTTAGTCTTAACTTTAACTATTGACTTTAAATACAGTATCATTCCTCCATGAAGCATTTTTACTATTCACACTCCAGAAGGAAGTGCACAGCTCTGAACGACACACAGTCAGATCCTGTGCTGTTATTGAAAAAGGGTGAGAAAACCAATCAAAACTGTAGTTGCACCTCACCCACAAACAAGCCTTCTGAATGTATGGCTAAATTGTGCGTACTACAGAGCTCTCCTTCACCATCTTGGATACATTTAAATGAAGCCATTAGGAACATAAGCGCAACCCATGTTGGAATAACAGATTGCTGAGCAGACTGCTGAAGCAAACATTGTTGTACATCTCGTGTCTGAAAAGGGGCTAAAGAGATCAGTCATTCACAATAATACAAGAAGGCTTCTTTCTTTACTTCTTAATCAAAACACTATCACCTGTTCTCACAATCGGCTAAGCTTATATTTACAACAGAACTCACCGACTGCCATGCAAGTGTTGAAACTTCTTCCAAAATAAAAAAGAAACAAAACAAACAAAAAAAAGACTAATTTAGCTAGACCTAGAAGGCAAGTCAGGAGAAATCCAGTCCTGAGGAAAAGGTTGACGATGTTGATGTAGACTACTGCATGGGTTGCAGAGAAGAACTACTGGGCTTCATCCTCTGGACAGGAATGCCAGGTCAGTCTCTCCTCATAAAAGGATATGACCACCTGAGGACAGCGGGTGTTGGCCTCACGGGCTGGGACCAAATCTGCCTCATCCGAGTCTTTCCTAAAAGAAGGCAGATTGAGAGAGGAACATTATAGAAAGCCAGCATAAATTTATGTACTTTAAATCAACTAAGTTTATAAGTTGAGGAAAGGTTTACAGCAGGAACACAGCCTGGACAGTGACAGTTTCATAACTGTGGCTCTGTACACCATGTAGCAAGATCTAAGCAGTGAAAGGCAACTGAAGTGTAGACACTGAGCTTTAAGTTCAAGGGTTTAAGAATAAACATTTAGTGAAACAAAGTTTCCAATTTTTAAGAGCTCAAATGCAAACAACTTAAAAATAAATAAAAAAACAACAACAAAAAAACAAAACATCCAATTATCCAAGTAATTCCACTCAGTTACACTTCCTTCACTTTAAACTTTCTTTGATTGCTATTACAATATTTCAGGATAATTATTTGTACTGTGAAGGATCCAGAAATCATAGCACTCAATACTTTTGAATTCACTGGCCGTCTGCCATTGTAGCATGAAACACCAGTGACTCACTGTATGCCATGCACATCCATCCTATGACTTACACTGCCTAGATTAACAAAACATTACTGCGCAAAGGTCTTGAACTAACAGTCATTTCATTATATTTTGCTTCCAAGGAGACAAAGACATGAGATATATTTTTTTTCTTCAATGACCAGAAATATTGCATAAAAATGTACCATTTCATCAAGAACATCAACTCCCCGCTACTGTCTGTTGCGCCAATGATTCGCTCGGGTTCGAGGTTCCTAGCAAAACCACGTGGTTTCTCAGCCTGTAGGTGGTTACAACAGAGAATGTAGACATATAAGATGGGAAGGAAACAAAACAACACATTTTGATTCATTTAAAATCCTTGCACTTTCTAGCATAAGTTCAGAAGCAGCTGCATTTCAAGAGAATGGTCTGAGTGACTTATTCAAAATTAGGTTTGTCACAATTATACAAGTATAATGCTAAGTTAAATGTCTACACACCACCCTAGCTAAGCACAACTATGATTTATTTAGAATACATTCATTTATTATAATGCTCGTCTTTGTTTAAGTTATGCAACCCTTTCTCTGAATGGCCCTCATGTTAAGCTTGACGGTTCTAAATTTAAATTGTCTCTAAGACATGCTAATTGCAGAAACTTGTGAAAGCAAAGGAACTCACCACATCCTTCTTCTTAGGTTCAGTCTCTGGCTCTTCCGTGGAGGCCTTCCTCTTAACAGGTGCAGGTTTCTCCTTAACGTTCTTCTGAGCCTCCAAAAATGCTGAAATCAGCTCAGGGCAATCCAGGTTCTCCTCTGGTTCCCAAGTATTATCAGCACTAAACGAGCAGAAAGAGAGTCAACGATTGCATTGCATCAATTCACACTGATTTCCATTTAGGAAAAAAAAAAAAAATGCAAATACTAGCATCAGCTAGCTTGCTTGAATGAAGGCACCGTCTTCATGCAACCACAATGACTTCAAACAAAAGTATAGCACAACCCCATACCAGGGAAGCACTTCCAGCTCAGCAGGAGGGGGGCAGGAGTCCCAGCCAACTCACTCTGTAAATCCTTTCCACTTGAGGTAGAATTCTACTTTCCCATTCACAACACGCTGGTCCAGCACTTTTTCCACAACGAATTCTTCAGGTTCCTCCTGTGTATCCTGTGCATCCTTCTTACTCTTGGTATTCTGCTTCTTTCCCATTTTGTGATCTAAAAACACAAACAAAAAAAGGAATTTGATAATAACAAATCCTTCAAATTCATGTGCTCCTGATATCCACATTTAGGATTGGCCATAGGCCCTAAAGCCGCCACAGACACCTGGATCGTAAACGAATTTAACTGTGAAGACTGTTATTTGCCCATTGGGGTATTAAAATTAGGCAACCTTGACAAAGGGATGGCCACCAAAGGGAAGTAAAAACGTAGCATTAGCTAGCTTAGCGATAAACTCTTAAAGTATTCAAAGATAGCCAAATTCTTATAGCGTTAGCTCGCATGCTAACTTTAGCTGGCCTTTAACCGTTAGGGAAAACCTACTTCACTTTTATTGTGTCAACTGCAATGCGGAGGGACTTAAAATAG